ACATGGATGGGCTACATTAATTTTAACTAGTTACAAGTTTTCATGTAACTGTGTGCAGTATAGGGGACAAAGTTGAAGAGGTTTTTGATGGTGTGTAATTTGGTTGCTTTCTGTGCAGTTCAGATGTTAATTTGTTATGTAATTGATCGAATTTTAGGTGAGTATTCTGATCTTTAAGTTGGAAGAGTTTTGTAAAGAGTTAGATTGTTTATAAGTATGAGAATATGAAAGTTAAAATGTGCATACCTGGTAAGGTTAAAGGTGATGCCCTTATATAGACGAGCTATTGTAAGCTTCATGAAACGTCCAAAATCACTAGACCGCGTAAATCGGAGTCTGTTTCGTATTTGAAGATGGACTCCGGATAAGCTAATAAGCCTTATCTGGGTCCCTCCAATCCAGGCATGATGAGGATAAAATCTGATGACGTGCAATGTGATCCCAAAGAGATCAGAAATGACTGACTAACTTCTAAAAGAAAGCTATGTGGTATCTCGACAGGTCGATGCATACGAGCTCCTCAGGACCTCGGTCTTAGCCAACTGGCCCAAGGTGCATGAGATTGGCTTGCTGAGGTGTCCAGATACTAAGATGCTGCCTAATCGACAAGTTGCTTCACGCGTTAGTATGTTAATAGATGAGGCTAAATTACCCCTCATTAGATTTATATTAGTACTAGCACAAGTTGAATGCCATGCTATTAGGGTTGTAGACTGATTAGATTTAGTTGCTTCTGCATTAGCATCTGACTGTAAAATTTTTAGATCCGCATTAATTCATATTTTGTTATGTTTAAAACGATCAAAATTAAAAATATTAAAAAATTAAATATTTTAAAAAATACATATATAATAAATATATGTAAATATAAAATATTAAATTTATTAATTATAAACTTTGTATAATTATATATATATATAATTACTTTTTATCGGACTTAAATTTTAATATGAAATCAAATCCAAATCCAGATAATGGGATCAGAGATAATACGTAATTTGAAATTTTGGACTCCATTGACAGAGCCACATGCACTACACAAAATCCTCGTTTACATAAAGTAGCCGAGTAGATAAGACTTAAAAAGAGCAGCAGTACCACTTTCCTGCAGGTGCTGGGAGAGGTGATGACACGGACAGTCGGACACTGCACCGCCGCCCATATCAAAGTAAGTAAGGCTGTGTTCGGTTGCAATGTAAATAAATTTGCACTGCTGTAAAATTACAGTAGTGCAAATGATTTGAGTGTAAATTCTAATTTATTTTTGTTTTAAATTTTAATTTATTTTATTTAATTGCAATACAAATAAAATAAATTAAGACATCGAGCAGAATAAGTAAAATTCAAAATAAAATTAAACAAAAATTTGCATTTTTATATTTAATAAAATTGCACAACAACCAAACACAACCTAAGTAACAAACAGCTTGGGTGTGGGGCCTGGGAGTAGACCTGTTCATGGGTTGGGTGGTCCGATGGGCCGGCTCGGCCCAGTCCAGCCCGAGCCCGGCCCGGCCCAACCTAAAATTAGACTTAAAATGGGTTATGTGATTATGTCCATTTGAATAATTTTATTTATTTAAGAATGTAAAACTGTGTTTTAAAACGTAAAAGAAAGGGGAAAAAACCATCTTATAGGCCCATTATTCATTTAAATAGGAAAAAAAACTATTTGAATTTTTAATTCTAATTTGAATAGAGAAAATTATAATTTTTTTATTAGGTCGGACTTTAGACTCGAACTTGGACTTTAGGCTTTTTATCAAGACTGGGCTCGGGCTTAAGTTATAAGCCCATTGATCAGACCGGGCTCAAACTCGGGCCTAACATATTTTCATTATGATGAATAAAAGCCCGATCCGAGTCCGACCCGACCTGACCCATGAAGAAGTCTACCTGGGAGTGGTGGTAACAATACAATTATACAATGGGGATATAACTTCGAGTCGTCATCGTTCGTCAGCAACGAAGGAAGCTTCTTGGAGTCGGTCCAAAAGTCAACAAAGTAAGAATTAGTTAAGGCCCACTTTTCTCAAAGCTTCCAATCCGCGCCACGCCTCGGCTGTGGGGTCCACACGCATCCCTTTAATTTTTTTTTTCTATTAACCCTTCCTCTTCTCATTTCTGATTTTCTTGCTCCGAAATTCATTCCGTATTTTCCGACACATTTTACTTAATTTTTTTGAAGCTGCAGATGCAGATGTTACAAGGAACTTGTACACTTGAGGGAGGAGGCCACTCCTCCTTCGGTCTTGAGTCTTGACCCACGTAGCAGAGTCCAGCGTTGGACAAGTAGGACGTGGGCCCCAATATAGTATGGTCCCCCCACTACATTCTTTCTCGCGTGCTGCGCACATGCCGGAATTTCTTGGAACCGACGTGTTGGGACTAGAAGTCGGCTTCCGGCGCCGCTTTCTCCTTCCAGCGCCAGATTTTTACTATTTTCTGATCACACATTGCACCAGCACCAGCAGGACCTGGACTGGATTGAGGATTTGTTTAATTTGGGCGGGCGGACCGTTTCAGTTGTCGCGCATAAGCCGTGTTCTAAGGACAGCCCGGCCGGCCGGCTTATCCAGAGTCAAATGAAACATGGCCTCTCCTCCTCCTTAGCTCATTGTTGTCTTATTCATCTACATTACTTTATTCATGTTTTTACATGCGCCAGTAAATTTGTCATTTTTCATAACACGATTTCGTTTCAAGTCAAATATTTGGTGGTGCTCAAAATCTTGTCAAAAAAGTAAAATAAATCAATTTTATAAATCCAAAAAGTTATTTTTTATAATATTATTGGATTGGATTAATCCAGGTGTTAATGGACTAAGTTAAACCAATTTGAATAGATTGGATGATCTAGATTGATCCAAAATGAACAAGGAGTATTCATTGGATTGGATCTGGTCCATCTAGTAATAGGCTCATATTGGACTCGATCATATTAGATCAAATCCAGTCCAATTGACACCCTTATTTAAAACAATAGATCGCATACGAACAAATTATTATTATTATTATTATTATTAAAGTCAATTTTCCTAAAAAAAAGACCTCTAAGTTTCAACTGCCAAAGCTTAATTAATTAGTGACAATGTATTCTTAAATACCAGAGCCGACAAACAATTACCGCCACATGGAGCTTCACCGGCCCTTAATGTCAAAATATCATTAAACAACTCTAAAAGTGATAAACAGCTATCTGATCATCAGATATAGGCAAGAGAGAGAGAATGGTTGTAACTGGAAGGAGAAAGTTTGACACCTGGCAAAATGAAAAAAAAAAAAAAAACTACTCTCTTTCATTTGCAATGCATGTTCCAAATGGCTTAGATTAAGTTATTATCCCTATTTAATTTATAGATACATACATGATACATGTATACATATAAACATATACCATTCATTAGGTTAATTAATATACCCAGTTAATAAGTTTATAGTTAGGGGGGAAATTCAATAAGAAAAAATACATCAGATGTATTTATTCTGAAAAAGATAAAAGTATTGATTGAAGAAAAGGTATACAAGAAGTATACAGAGGAGATGAGAAAAGAAACGGCCTCAACCAGAAAAAGAAATATTTTCATTAAGAGTTCTCATTTGCAACCTTCCAGAATTTATGAATTTTATCGACTGACTTTTAGTATTAAAATCTTCAATTCTATATTTCTTGGTTAAGCTATCCCATCTTATAAATTTCATTAGACATATTATTGAGAATGAGTTTTGATTTGGTTGAGAGGGTTACTAGGTTGATTTGGTCTCAATTTGCATTATATTCGAAAGTCTTAGGTTGAAGCATCTTAATTAGTTTGCCAAATTTTGAAATTGGTTACATTCGAAAGGTTCAATTTAAGGAAAAAAAATAAAAGAAACTGACATAATTATTATTTATAATTTGATTAATAAAAATGGGTTGAAAGTAGGAAGAAGCCATAGAAATTACCCAAAAAATCAACTTCAAATTGTTAGAAAAAATAATTAGATGGATGAATTCTAAGTATGTTCATTAGATATCAATTACAAGAAGACATAATGTATAGCATATTCTTTAAACAAGTAAGCAATATAACTTTCTCCATTAAAAATAAAATACGTATCAATTTATAACTAATAAGTAAGGAAAAGGAGATTTTCTAATAATTTAATCACCCTAACTACCTAAGCTGTTAACGTCCTGAGAAACTAACATACAACAATCAGATATTGTTATAAAGTTGTATTTTAATATGAAAAAATAAATAAATAAATATATGCAAATGATGTCAATTAAAATAACATTAATATGTAAATATTGGATAATATTAGTTAAAAGGTTGAGAACCAAGTTGGTTGATTAATTAAAGAAAGAATGCATTAAATATTAGCAATTAGGGGACATATTTTAATTGTATATATGGTTAATTAACTGACGACCTTCTCTTTTAAACCGAAAAAAGGCGACTTTTTTTTTTAGTGAAAGACTGAAGAGGAGGTTGAGCTAAGCCAAGCCGATCCATGAAGAAAAGCTGCTGGTTAGTGGAAATGAGCGGAGCTCGTAAAGGAGTGGAACTTTTCTTTGCTGTGTAGTTTGAATAGAGACTCTGAATTTCTCAGGGTTAGGTTGAGCTGGCGTGGATCTCTCTCTCTCAAGTACTTAAAATATGCAGTCTCTTTCGTTACATATTAGTGATGATGAATTGAATTAATTAATGTAATGTGAAACGGTGCTTGGGGCGAACATGGGTCCCCCCTTCCTCTGCATAGAAACCACCTTTTCTCTTTCTACAACTGTTTTCGAAAATTCAAACTGGTAGATAGCGAGGAAGCCCACACAGGACAGAAAGAAAAATATGCTCAAAGACCAGGACAAAAACAATAACAATTTTATATTAAACAAAACAAACAAAGGAAACCCCCCCTCATTCCATGAGGCGTCTTGGAGAAGTGCCTTGAAGAGCACGGATCTTCCTGTCTCAGAACGTCGCCCTCTCTTCTTCTATTTAACTTCCCTTTCTTCCCATATTCATCTTCTTTCTTAACCGCTTCTCTAATTCCCTAATTCCCCCTGTTCAATTAGATTGGATACAAACCGCGTCTCTCTCTCTCTCTATCAGTTTTCTTGGGAACTCTGATATTATTGGTTTCTGTGCTTGTCATTTTCTTTTTCATGGGTTTTAGTGTCCCGTATGTATGTTCCATGATTTTGGGTGTTTAAGATTGTATTTTAAGATCTTGTTTCAGTTGAGGATAGTGGGTTCTTTGTTTTAATTTTTATTGGGATTTGGGTTTTTAGTGATATTGACATGGAAGAGGTTGCAGTACTGACAAAGGGAGAGGATTGCATAGATTTGCCTCCTGGTTTTAGATTCCATCCCACAGATGAAGAGATCATAACCCACTATCTCTCAATGAAGGTTGCAGATAGCAACTTCAGTGCAAGAGCTATTGGGGATGTAGATTTGAACAAGTGCGAGCCATGGGATCTACCAAGTGAGCTCTTTCATTCATTTCTGTACTTTCATTTCCCTTGTTTAATTTTGACTCCTATCTGACAATATTAATTCTCGATAAATTGTGTTACCGGATTTCCTTCTTAATTTATATGATTTGATTATTCTGCAGAAAAGGCGAAGATGGGAGAGAAGGAATGGTACTTCTTTTGCCAGAGAGATAGGAAGTACCCAACGGGCATGAGAACCAATAGAGCAACCGAAGCTGGGTACTGGAAGGCTACTGGAAAGGATAAAGAGATTTACAGGGGTAAAGGTTGTCTTGTTGGGATGAAGAAGACCCTTGTTTTCTACAGAGGGAGAGCGCCCAAGGGGGAGAAAACCAACTGGGTCATGCATGAATACAGATTGGACGGAAAATTCTCTTATTATAACCTCCCTAAATCTGCAAAGGTAGGTTCCTTTCTCCTTTTTCTTTTCCCCCTTTTTATCTTAATTCAAAAGTTCATCATCATCTTTCTTTTTCTGTCACATGATATTCTACATGTGAGAAGAATATATATAAGAAAAACTCTGGTTGTTCTTTCTGTGTTTGCAGGATGAATGGGTCGTCTGTAGAGTATTTCACAAGAACACAGGCGTCAAGAAAAGCCCAGTTGTAGGCCTACCAAGGACGAATTCTTCTGTGGATGATCTATTGAGTAGTCCGCAATTGCCACCTCTCCTGGATCATGTTTACCTCGATACAAACGGAGCTAGCTCGAGCTTTATGGACGGAGAAGACATATTCAAAGGGTTAGCCACAACATCATCATCAGCCATGAGAGCACCAGACGCAAATCACCTTCCCTCCTATATCTTCTCATCAGGCATAAACGATCATCTTCAACAACCACCGCCACAACCACAACAGGACCAAAAGTGCTTTCTTCCACCCAACTACTCCAACACCAACTACCAAGGGAACCCATCAAGTTACACACTTCCGACCTCCATGTTCTACCCTCAAATTCCTCCATCGAACCCCTTCTTCTCCATTCAAGGAACGACGAATTCGGGTTACTTGCACCAAGGGAAGAACAACTCGATCACAGGTTTTACAAGCTCTGGATTCAGCGAACATGATCAGGCGGCAATTTTGGGAGCTTTCGCTTCCTCCTTTGATAAATCTTCTAGGCAACTGATGCAGTGTAAGGTAGAGCAGACCTCTAACCAGTCTATGGTCAGCCATTCTCAGGATACGGGGCTGAGTAATGACATAACCACAGAAATTTCGTCTGTTTCCAAGCATGAACTTGGAAGGTCTTATGAGGATCTTGAGAGACCACCTCCAGATAGCCCCGTGGGAGATTTGGACTCTTTGTGGACCTACTAAAGAATATACGTGACTGGCAAGCCTCTTGTCCATTGATGAATATATATTAGATGTTTATTATGTCTTTCTCTTCTAGCTCAGAAGAGAGAGAATGAGGGAGACATTGGATTTTCTTTGTACAGACTCCATGATGATATATTTATCCAGACCTCAATGTTACAGCCCTATCTATAGAGAACTTAAAGAAAAGGATACTTCATGATTACAGTTAAACCCCAACCCCATCATGTACATCTATTCTTTGGTTGAAACAGTGCATTTGTTTCTTTTGTTTTTCTTCTCTTCTTCTTCTTTTAAATTCTATTGTTTGAGAAATGGTGATATAGAAGAAGTATTTTGGCTTGCCACCTTAAGTGCTAATAGAAATTTGACTTTTCACATATCAATTCACATCTATAGATCATGTGATGTCAATTGTGCTGGAGGGAATTTTTTGCTCAAGTATCTCTTCAATAATGCTTGTAATACTGTGTCAGCAGAAATAATATTGCATTAGCAATAAAAGCATATTCAATACCCAATATAATTCTAGCTAGTTTGAACTTGTTCATGCACCCTTTCTCTCTGCATACATGAATAAAATATGGGCTCTCTAGGTCACACTAGATGGAATTCTTTCCATGAATATATATCACAATTCCAGCTGATTAAAAGGGAAAAAATGATTCAGTTCTCAAAACTAACAGTTAGAGAATAAGAGAAAGCCTTTGTTTTTTATTTTCCTTCATTTTAACTAATTATTTGTCAAGCTTTCTGCTAGTTATTAATTAATTTCTTGTTGACATATTGGAGAAATGAGCAGATACATTCATCACTTCACATCTTTTTGTTCATCATCTCCTGGGATGGTATCTTGTATCTAGTTGTAATAAATGAGCTTCATGAGGTTTAATTTATGAAGTGTTTGTTCTGAGGGAGGAGTTTAATTAGTTCATTCACACTCGTCCTTAATTACATAGTAGCTTTACGCACTTTCCCTCCTTATATAACTGTGATGGCTTCAACCACGCCTTATTTTCATGATATAGTATAGAATATATGAGATAGCTCGGTTGTTGTTAATGGAATTAATAATATTGTTTCTAAATAAAGTGAAAGGAGAAAGAAGAAGCAAAACGAGTGAGAGAGAGAGAGAGAGACGGTTAAAGTATGGGCACGCCATAGTCGGAGTGATGAGGTTATCGGTTATTGCAAGAGAAGAAAGGTTCATGTGATTTGCTTCCGCCATTAACTTACTTTCTATTCAAAGCAAAGCGTCGGTGGGTTTCAAACTTGCAGTGAAGCTAAAACCGTCCCTTCTCTTTCTCTCTCTCTCTCTCTCTAAACATCTATCTCTCTCTAGTTTCAAACCCTGGATTGAAGAAACGGGTTCCTACTAGTCACGTGCGGAGCACACAGAGCACGTGCTAACGACCTTGCTAGGTTTGGCATGCATGTCCAAGTCCAACAGTCCGAGTCCCACCTCGCGAGAACCGATTACCGACCCACCAGGGCCACCACCCGGCACCAATCGGCCACCGCCATTGAAGGAGTGAGAGAGGAATTCCGATTCCTCTTGCAACTGAAATTGACAGAAACAACCTTCAAAGTTATAGGAATGAATGCCCTCTTCCTCCAACCTTCTAACTTGTCCACCTAATATGCTGGCCCAATTAGTTGTCCTCTCTCTCTCTCTCTCTCTCTGTGCAAACAAAAGAGGTGTGATTATTCTCTTTAGAGAATTAGAGTTATAAAGACCAATCTATTATACAGGACAAAATATATAGTTTGAGCCTTTCAGGAGAGGCATCAAACCGTACAATGCCATCTGTTCATTCATCGAAATATTTAGACAAGTCTCACTCATCGCAACGAGGTCAAATGTCAACATGATTGGAATGATCTCGATCGTCCAATCCTGTTCCGCGCTATTAGGCGGTGCAGAAAATCTGGCAAATAATTCATCAATCCAAAATAAATAAAAAGTAAAATAGGGAAAAACATTTTAAATCAAAAGGGAGAAAGAGACTAATCATGTGACTCAAAATACCATAATATTATTGGTGGTGGGGGGGTTGTTCTTGAACCCAGCATTAATAACTTACTAACTCGAAAGTGAACACTCCAATTAAGAGAGAGAGAGAAGAGAGGGAGAGAATAACTAAAGGAAAGTGAGAAAGCCACCCGGGTGAATATTTGGTTTATTTGATTAAAAATCCAACGAAATAAATCAAAATTCTAAAAACCAAAATTAAAAATTAAAAATCAAACCAAAACTGAATTATAGGAAAATCAAAGTAATTGAAATCAAAAATTTCAATTCAAATTTCAGTTCTTTAAGTTAAAACTGAATTTCAACAATATACATAATACATTATAATCAAAAACCGAAACGTAATTTGGTCCTCCGAATTACATTGTGACACGTGGTCTTCAAGCAATATCTCGACGCTAGATAAGTGAACCAACTTGGCAAATTAGCCTAAAACACCTCACCCAGGCCAACCTCTACTACCTCGGCTGAAACGAGCTAGTAGGTCTCCCAACAAATAGCAACTTGTCTCGGAGACCAGCTGAGTTGTAAGAACCTAAGGCGACCTGCAAGGTGACCGTTACTAGTCTGAGATCTCTGGAGCATTAATGCATCGACCGTTAGGCCAGCCTACCGCATCGCACACATCAGAGTTAATCGGATGGACCGTATCCCCACGTAACCGATGTAATAACTCAACCACTAAGCAAAAACAGCTCCACGAAAACATGAGACCCGTTGTGAGAAGGCTCATAACACTCACACCTATATAAAGTCCTCACTCTGACCAATGAAGGTATGCACGGTCAAGCTCTCAAGCATTCTTATCTCCTAAAAAACCTTCAAAAACAATTCTCTGATTCACCCCGCGGAAAATCAGCCCTGACACTCTAACTCTGTCTCTTACAGAATAAAACAGTTCGGCCATTTACAGCTCGGCCCTGATAAGGTATCACGAATCAACGTCCCAATCACCTAAAACACAAGAGCAGCCAAATATCACACTACATCAGAAACCAAATTAAATAATTAAAACCAAAATTTTTAATTCGATTTTTTTATTTTAACCAAATAATACAAAGTCCTATCTCCCAATCTCCCATCTTTAATCTTATTGTTGGATGTTGGCAAATTTAACCAAAAAGGGCCCAGAACACGTCGTACAAAAGAATAGCCATAGCTGGTAGCATGAGACGACTCTGAGCTAAGTATGAAGGATTAATTGCTAGCTGACTATTTATATGCGGAATCATGAAGCGAAAAAAAAAAGGAAAAAATACGAAAACACACGATGCAGAATTCTGAATTCCAGCAGTACGTGGGTGGACTACACCTGGATAGAAGTGTACCATGCCAGCCAGTTTGCCTGCCTATAGCATCTGGGAATGGATTTGATTATTACCAAATTTCAGGCACATGAAAGGCTGTCTCTACCACGTGACGCCATCCAGTCTCATTCTCTCTCTCATCTTATGATAATTGAATACTAGGGAAATCAAAAGTTAAAGTTTAGCATTGCTACCTTTCTGTCTCGGCCTTTATTAATTAATGCTTATTTCCCTTCAGTGGGATTACATATTATTACAAACATATCAAAAAAATGCTCATTTTAAATTACCAGGGTTTAACTAGGTGTCATTTGGTAATTTTATTTTAAAAAGATCTTCTAGGACTAGCAGTCGATATGGCTAAAAGATATATTACGTTTTTGGGGTCTTGTTTTTTAAAGATAAAAATTATTAAAATTATTTTGGCAAATGGTTTAGGTTTTATCGGTTTGAGCAAGGTTTTTGAATTGTCATTGATTCAGATGGTTGGACCATTTAGCCCAAAAATTATTCAGACAATTGATTCCGTTTTTCCTTAAATTTGATTTTAGTAAAAAATTGTTAAAAAAGTCAACAATTCGTTGATCCGGCCGGTCGAACCATCAACCCGTTAACCTGTTCAATAATTTTAACTATTTAATTATTTTTTATTTTTTTAATTTATTTATTAGAACAGACCATCCATTCAAATAAATCTAAAAGATCATAAATAAAGAGACTTACCAAAACCCAAAAGACCCTAAAAAAACTTGATAAATGACACCTTAATTAATTAACTCTTGTTAATACATATCAATTTTTCATTTTTTTCCCTCTTTTCTCTAAAACATAGCCAAGTAGCGCAAGTCCTCTTCATGTCCACACCTTCGGTTCTTGAGAGGACTTCACGTGGAGCCCATGTTTTAGAGATAAGCTTGCGATTTGATTTGATGATAATTAATACACAGAGAGATGAGACCCACTCTCGGTCGCCGTCTCACCGAAAACAAGTAAACAACTAAACTCAACGCATAAACCAATCCAAGAAATAAACATGGCGTAGTGATGAATAAACTTCCCTTATTGCCAACGTCAGCTGACGTGGCTTCAGAGTCAGACTCTTAATTAGTTAGAGTTGCCATGTCAGCGCCTGCCCACTCCTTGCTTAATCAGGCATGGCCGTTTTATTCGTTAAAGCAAAAAGATTACTACTAATTAATTATATAATTATGATATATATGTATTATATTAGAAGAAGAATGGATAGATACAGGTGATGAGAGAGAAAGTGGAGTCGGTTTCAGTAGATTGGATATGAGAAATGATGACAAAGACAAAGGAAGTTGGTATTTCTGTTGGTTACTACTGGAGACTTAATACAGTGTATTTATACTAATTGCAAAGATGATAAGGTTTGATATGATGTGTCATAGATTCATTTTTGAGCAAAAGGCCACGTAGAGAGTCTATATAGCTTTTTCTTTGCATTTTCGTATACAGATGGATACAGAAGAAGGAATTGGAATAGATAAAGGGATGATGAGGTCACGTTTTACATAAGTGTAGTATTCTCAGTTTTCAAGCTATACTGTTATAACAACAAAAATAGGTAAACAACACCACCCCTTCAGGCCCTTCTCTCTCTCTCTCTCGCTCTGGTGATAACGTGAAGATTCAAAACACAACAGTTGTACATTTATTTCATTATTGTCGTTGTTATTAGAAAACAGGTTTGCTAGTCGTGTTATTTAGGCAAGTAGTAGTCTTTACCATCAAGCCCTAAAACGGAATCTGGATTATCTACCAACAAAATACATTCCAATACCTTACCAACATTATCTCACACTGTGGTCCCAATTTCATATACAGTGAGATGTGTGGTGTCAAATCAAATTGGTGGGATTGAAACATGAGATCCCAACTCACAAAACCTTCCTTCATGTATACCTTTTTTTTCTT